CACGAGCCTATGTACACCGGCTCTCATGTATATTTATTTATATATGTGTGTATATATATAAAACTGGCAAAACGAAAATAGGCAGCTATTTTTTCTTTTTTTGGACAAGTATATGTTTCCATGTAAAGTAATTCCACAAGCCGCAGATACATATAAAAAGGCAGGTCATCAATGTACTGTACCGTGCACCGTTCTGTATGAAATGAAAACTATCATTTACAGACGTTTTCTTTTTTCATCCACTGCTGGATGAAAGCCTTCACCATACTTCACCTCGCTCGCTCGTGTCTGCTGGTGTGGCTGGGCAAGGCTGGTTCAGATATCACTGCTCACCGATGTTAGCAGCCTGCTAACCGATGCGACACCTTCCCATCCACTCTTCGACTCTCTCCATCTCTATGAAGTCGGTATGTTATTTCCTGGTAAGGAAAACCAAATATTTTATTTCGGGAGCATTATTTACGGAGCTCAGAGCTTCGTGCTGAACACGGTGATTCCTAAAGTCTTATCAAATTGCACGGTCACTCATGCGCAGGTGGTGACCTGCCCTTTGAAAACGCAGATAATCAATGTACGCGTATCACGGTAAGAGCCATCTAGAAAGAGAAAGAAAACCCCAACACGTAACTCAATATGACTGGAAGAGGATTAGAAGTCATGCACACTCTAAAAGGCAAAATACATTTAGCCCTGGATAATTGTTGGCGCGTTGTCGAACAGTGAACGTGCCGCTTACTCCCATGCTGGGCTTCATTTATTGGTGTAACCCGGCACACCACGTCCAGTACGCGTCTCGCTATGGCTGTGCCGAGTGGTCACGTGTCTTCTCCGGTCTACTAGTGACACGGACACTGTTTTACTCTCCGGACAGACCACGTCCAGTTTTTCTGTCGCTGTGGCGACTATTCACGTGCCTACTGCGGTGTATTTTATTTCGAGATCGATAGATGGAGGAGTACATTGGGATGGGACAATACGGGGCAAGGAACACAATCCCCCCCCCTCCTCCTTCCCCACACTGCTTTGGGCAGTGATGGAGCAAGGATTTTGATATTATCCCTCAATACATTGGATTGATGGCCGTCGTGTGCAAGCCATTGGATGTGTCATTGCATTTAGCGCACTGCGTTCTGCACGAACGGACCTGGCGACCCGGGTTCGATTCCCGCTCACGACCAATAACGGGGGCAAATATCTGAACACCGGCCTGGGACTCCCCTGGGTTGACTCAGCCTCAAATGAGCACCTGGTGCGGTGTGCAAACATCGCCACTCGCGAGACAAAGGCGGCCGCCGGGCGAAGTGCTGACCAACCACACACCCCTCGTGTGCCGTGGCGACCTACATAGGCGCTCGCTAACAGCACTTGCCCGAACGGTATGTGCAGGCTATACGGGGGTGATTCTTTGTCTCTGCTTTAGTTTATGCACGGTGAGTGGGAAGCACTCTCTGTCCTGCGGTGGTCTGCATGCAGAAAGGGCAGCAGCAGCATCAGTCGCGAGTAATGGTCGATATTTACTGAGACAAAGCCGCGTGCCCCGGCCGTCCCCACGCGCATGGTACTGTGGGGGACAGTTTGGGGAGCAGATGGCAGATACTCGTCCAATCAGCTTAAAAATGCGAGCAGAATTGTGTGTTTAAGCCCCGCCGTACGGCGAGTGCACACGAGTAATCGCGGCACGAAGATGCTTTGCATTCATTATTTGCTTATGTCCCCTCTATTTATTCTAGCCGTCGCAGGGCAACATTTGAATAATTGGAGATTGTGCTTTGCGTGCAACTCTGCATTGGCTCGTCGATTGAAATGGAGGCTCACGCTCACCGGACGTGTATCAATGCCGACACAAAAACCTTCATTTTCGGTTTAGCATATCAAGGGACCGACCACAATTGTACAATTATGAGAGGGACAATCGCGAAACAATGAAAACAAGCTGGTAAAAGAGAGAATAATAATGAATGGATTATGTAATCGAACCTCAACTCCAAATAATTCCAGAAGAATTGTCACGTGCCTGGAATGTGATGAACTTGTACGGAGCACGCATAAACACACTTGGTACTTGGGGTGCTTTAATATATGACGGCTTGGTATCTTCATCATCCACCGTGATCTATCCACTGCTGAATGAAAGCAACGATTCATCTCGCTCCTGCACCCGGTCTCCAAATGCAATGTCCACTCGGGCATGTATACACACATGGTACATGGCGTGCTTTTATAACAGAGCTTGAGTTTGACTGTGCCAACTTTTTTTTTCGACTAATGCAGCCCTTTCAGTGCGCGAACACGCGAAAATGTTCAGTCCGAGACAGCTGCGCGACATTGCACAAAGCAATGCGGGATAGGCCGTGACGTCTCCACGCAACACCGAAAGCAGAGAAGTCACGGAGGGGACACCGTTCTAAAACCACGACCGACGCAGGCTGACACGCAATCCATTCATGGGGGCTGCTTTAGCGTGGCAGCTTAAAAGGCCAGGGAGACGTGGTGCCAACCGACTGTGATGCTTTTAGACCCGACAGTCCAGTTTGGTATTTTTTTTTCTCTCCCCCTCTCTCTCTCTCGGTGGTGTGTTTTTTTTCGGAGCAGCTGTCCCGGCTGTAATTTTGACACAGACAAAATCGGGCGTTCTATGCTGCGTGCTAAGATTTACGGTCTTGCCCGCTGTTGGGGATTTTAGGAATCGGGTGGCGAGGTGAGGGCAATACGACACACCGTGGCCAGGGTTTGCCCTTGTGATGAAGGTCTACATTGCCCTCTGTCTGCTTGTGAACGATGAAGAACTCTGGGCTCCAGGCCGACGCATGATGGCCTCCGAGCCTCTGCAGCCCGAAGGAAGATACACCCCCCCCAGAGATGTCCTGAAAAGCTCCGGGTTTTACCAAGGCGTGGGGCCAATGCGCCTGCTCGATGCGTGCCCTTGTGCAGTTGCGTCCAAGGTGCTCGACGAGCCGCGGTGAGCCAAAAATAACCCACGGGGCTCTGGCAAGGTAGGCGCCCGTCCTTGTTAATCCCGTGCTCAATAGCGCCGTCCAGGAGGGAGCCTCGGTTGCACGCTTTTGAGCGATTTTTAAATGTGCGCGAACATCCGAGCGCACCGAGACTTAGGCGATGAAGTGACGCACGGCTTGGCTTGAGGTGGGGAGTGACGTACGCGGTTCGTGACCTGCAAGCTGGAGGCCAAAAGCCAGCAAACGATGGATGTTTCACGCGCTCCGACTAAGGTTGACTGCGTTTGCGCATTAGCACTGTCCAGCCATCCGTCCAAACGTGACGCACGGCACGATGACGCTCGTGAAGATGATGCAATCTGAACGAACCTACCGTGTATACAACTGTGTTGCTGTTGGAGAATCAACCCCTGCCCCCCGTGGCACGAGAGAGGCCTTCATCCAGCAGTGGATTAACAAAGGACTGCACTTTATAAATATTTGAATTTTCATATCGACATTGGCACTCCAGTTGGCCTGGCGTTTCAACGCATTCCAGCTATGGGTTGAAAGCGTTAATGCTCCGTCTGTATCACGGGAGTCACGATAACTCTAATAAAGATGAAACCAATATGAATGAAGCTGTATCGTACAATCGCTTTGCTAAAATGTATCAAAGGGGTTGGTGAACATTTTGAGACCCAAATTACTATAACAAAGGAAAACGGTTACAGCATTTTCAAAATGAGTGAACACGTGCAAGCCTAGACCGCCACGCGCTTGCATCTGCACCGCTGATTAAACGCCTTTGAATACGAGCACATGTGGGGAAGCGTTACGTAACCCCCATGCACATGCACGATTTTCCCTAACTTAGTTTGGTGATGAATTGAGACTTCTCATTTCTCGGGAACATGTTGAGTGTTTTTTTTTCCTCCCACGCCAACTCGCTGCTTTCGAGTCGAGTGCTGCATTACGGATCGTTTTGTGCTGGGCATGCCTTTAGTTTGTCTGAGCCAGACACACGCACGTCCAGTGAATGATAACATTCCTACCCCACGAGAATATTAAAGTCCTGACCCAGACTGGGTAACACAATCCATACAAAACAGAATGTCAAGCAAGGTTTGTATTACATTTTCGCAAATTTAATATATGAAAAAACACGTTTTTTTATCATACTTATATCCAGAAATACGTTTATCCAGTAAATAGTCTGTATTTTTTTTATTTGAACATTATGTGTTGAAAGCCATTGTTTCTCGAAGCAGACAAGCTATAGCCAGACTGACGCAGTTGGAAGTTGGCTGAGTGGGGCTATCAACACGTGCCAACCTGGCCATGTCACCGTAGCAAGAAGTCAAATGAGGGTGGAATTCCTCTCATCAACGACCACATTAGCTGCAATTCCTAATATCCGCGGGAGCTGTAGGGTCTGCGGAAACTCTTATTGTAAGCTCCCTATTACGTTTATTATCCGCAGTTTCCCCAACGGACAAGTTGAGTAAATACGCAGATACTGCAGAGTGCAATAGAATCTGCGTTGTCCAATCCCCCACACCACCACCACCACGGATAAGTACTACCTACGGTATCGTTCACGTTCACTGTGAAACAGAGAGCGCGTATATTATATACGGTGATACAGCTGCAGTAATAACCAGGGTGGCCGGTTAGAACCGAACCTTCAACCTCTCTGGCACAAGCGGTGAACATGCTACCGCTGTGACGCATCACAGCCCCGTAAAAAAACATTTGTGCATTTTACTGCAAATGAAAAAAAAAGTTTCTAATAATTTTCATTTTTAGTTTGAAAATAATAACTTTTTTTGTTGCTGCCATTTTTGTACAAAAGCAACTTAATTTAGTTGTTTTAACATTATATATTTTTTCCACGTATGTTGTTTTTAGCGTGCCTTAATGATATATACATATTTTTTTAAAATCTAATTTAAGAACTAGTTTTGGCAACATTACCATGCAGTCATGTGCTCGTTCCTGTGGGATCCAAGCCCATCAGTCGGTGGCTGTTGCCACTTTCCAAGTCAAATTCACATCACGACTGGGCTTTTCCTTTTGGTTTTTATTGACTCAAATAATTTTTGTACAAGAAAAAAAATACATAAAGATCCAACCAACTCTTTCTCTCTCGCCAGCACTTGTGTCCACAATGCGATGTAAACAAGACTTGAATCTTCTACGCAGCTGCCAAAATTATTTGGAATGTCTGCCGCTTTTTGTCGAATTGTAACACTTTTGTAGCCTGCAGGTTGTCGGAAGTTTTAAGCTGCACGTGACGGTAAATCTCAGGACGTGTGTTGCTGGATACGATCTCGTTTCACCGTTACAACTCCGTGCACCCTTTGCAGTGTGACGTTTAAGAATTTTATATTTGCTTGTTCATATTAAATGTTCGAATTTTAGTTGTTTGTGTCTATGATGCATAGCGTTTGTTTATATCGCAATCGCATTCCGAATCATTATATTTTTGTTCCAGTAATCGTTACACAAACATCACTGCAATATTCCTTGACAACACATTCCAAACTTAAAAATATATTCCTACTCGTGGCTGTAAATGATAGCATATTAAATAACTATGCATTTGCAAATAGAACACCTTATTTACAATGAAAATTTATTTTCATTGATATTTCCGTTTTGCTTTCAGCGAACATCGTATGCTCATAGCTATAATTTTACTCCTAAGAATTGAACTCATGCTTTTCTGGGTTTATTGCCAAATAATACACTCTGCCTTTGAAATTGTAAATGCCTCAATCAGCAGAAGAAAACTCATGGTGTCAGTTGGATGTTCAATATTGTACAAACACTCTGTAATGAGTGGCTGAAACACAAGATAAATATGGGTCATACCGCACTGCATTCGTCTCGTTGTCAAATAGTTCACTGGCAACGTGAAACGTGTGCATTTGAAAGTAATTCCCGCCACGGTTTCCATTACAAATGTAGAGGTCTGCTCGAGTCGGGCTGCAACGATGCACTGATGCATCGATTCTTCATCCAATGATAAACGCATCGCATCACGTTTGAAAGAAACTTTTTTGTTTGTCGATTTGTATCCGTTGAATAACATGGGATCCCATGACCCTGGGCGCTCCTCATATATTCAGCACAATGTAAAAAAAAAAAAAACAAGTATTACATTCTTGAATTGCAATGCGACCCTGAATCACAACACACACATTTTTTCTTTAATGTGGGAAGCTTGCGGCGGGAGGGTGAGGATAGGGGGGGAGGTGGGGGCTGAATCGTTCATTTTAGGGACAGAAATCCCTGCGCAAGTCGAAAATTGTTAACACGTAAGAGAAATAAAACGCTGCCCCAACTTTGATCGCCGGCCACGGCAAACATCAGCGGCGAGTGACTTCTCAAGCGAACCGGTCACTCTCTTCGTAGGCCCGCGCTGACCAGAATGGTGAAGTATGGTCAAAACTCCCCCACGACTGAGAGGTGTGGGGAGGCCTTCGTCGATTATTGGGTTACAAAAAGGTCTGTACATTTTCACGACCAATATTTGCTCTTTAAACATCACCACCGACTTTGCCCCAAAGAAGAGACCTTGGCAGATCACTGTCCGATCCGTGCCGATGCACGAGCTATATATATGTGCACGTACTTGTCAGAACTTTGGGGTGATTATGTAATCCTGCCTGCGCTGTGGAACAATAGCAGAGTCCTCCGACTGGATGGAGCAAGGTGTTGTAAGTGTTATGTGAGAAAGCGTGTTCTGCCCTTGTGAGTTCTGACAGCATGAAGTGTTGCGGGACTTGAGAATTGAGCTGGCCTGGATGGACAAAAAACTACAACTCCAGTTTTGGAAGGATGAGTAATCTGTTGCTGATTATGTTTCCACTTAATCATGCACTCGGCGCTTCTCAAGAGAAATTGAAAATAGCCACTTGCAACACGCCCCGACATGACGTGTGGAGATGGACCCAATGAGATCACCTCGTGTGATGGATTGCAGGATCGTGGGACTGAACGAAAGAGCAAAAGTGCGGACGGTAAGAACTTGCCTGCTGCTGCTGCTACTGAAAAATACTGGCAATGCATTTGTATATCACGTAAAACGCATCACACGGAGCTCCGGGAAGAATCATGAGGCCCCCTCATTCACCCTCTGGCATAACTCCAAATTCGCCCTTGCAGCTTTAGAAGACCCGAGACTGAAACTGAGGAAGAGGGGAGGTCAACCAGATCTGCGGCTCCCTCGTGAATGTCACTCCAGAGACCCTGAGTTTACTTGACTGAACTTGAAATGAGACCGATTCCTCCCCCTTTCTTCCCCAAAGAAAATGGATCTGATGCACGTACCACGTAATGCTACGGTCCTATACGTCTTAGTTGGTTGTCTGTCCGAGCCGCCTACCCCGCTATTCACCACTCACATATCGCGGAAGTTGTACACCCCCCCCCCCCCCGTGGTTGGATGAATAAAAAGAAATGCATCGCACGTTTTTGGTTTCTCATAAAACAAGTGGCAGTGGTGTACAAGGAGAAACATGAAGGAAACTCGCCACATTCATCGTTAACACTGCCTCAAAAACAAATGTTTGGGCAGTAGACCTGCAGGGCAGAGAATCACTGTAGAGTATATATCTATATATATAATAGGGCAGTGTTAATAACAAATGCGAGTTGTTACAGGCATTATTTTTTCCGTTAACGTATTCTCCAGATTACGAGGAACTCCGGAATGTAAGTCGCACCCCAAACTTGTGCCCGGTGTCAATAAAGTTACATATATATATCTGGTCTCTTTCACACACACTCACTCACACGTAGCGGATTATACGACGCATCCCCAACTTTTTGCTTTAAAATACAGGGCAAAAAGTGCGTCTAATAATACAAACAATATGGCACGTCTATCGGTTGCGTCTGGCATTCGAGTTTAGCAGAGTAAACAGAACATCATCTCGCTGCGATCTGTGAAAACTACGGTTGCTGTCGTTTAGTCTGGTGGGCCTTGGAGGACACCACGTGGTCACCGCGTGGGGTCACCGTGCGGTCACCACGTGGTCACCGCGTGGGGTCACCGCAGGGTCACCACGTGGTCACCGCGTGCTGTTGGTGTGTGTGGCTGTGCGGCTAAAGGGATTGCAAGGGGCAGCGGGGTGCTGGCCACTCACTCCCCTCACCACTTTCCACTTCTAACATCCTCATGAGATGACAGAAGAGATTTCGACATGGGATGGAGACGTTGCAGAGCGACAGAACATGTAGAGAATGTTGAGCGATGCAGACGAAAGATAGAAATATGTAGTGGCATGAGAGAACTCGAGATGCAGATGAGATGGAGAAGCAGTGAAATGAAAGAGATGCAGACAAAGAGACAAGGGTGATCTTAAACGAGAGAAGAGGCGAGCTAGGGATGAGCACATTGTCGCAGCTACTCCTAATCCAAGTGCGGTATTCCGGGTTAGGCCGCGTGTTGAGCATTCCCCCTCTCAAGCTTTCACCACGCACTATTGTAGGCATCTCCAGGAGCTTGAGAGAATAAACGCTCAATACGTGGCCTGACACACAATACCCCACTTGGAAGACAGGGACGAGCCAGATATCTTTGCTGTCGTAAGTCAATTCGCTTGCTGGTTTTTTCGGATTTTAATTTGAGCTGCTCGCCCCTATTTCTGCCACGAATCCGGGGGGTGGGGGGTGGGGGAGGTGGGTCACTCTTGGAGCTGCTTGGGGCGCTGATCATTTCCTTGCTTTGCTTCATGCCGAGCGCCGTCACTCGCTGGGGGAGGACACGGGGGCCATGTGTTGGGTGAGTGTGGGTGGGTTTGGTGGGTGAGTGTGGGTGGGTGTGGTGGGTGGGTTGGTGGGTTTGGTGGGTCGGTTGGTGGGTGAGTGAGTGAGTGGGCGCCTCAAAACCACTCGGGTTCGCTGTCCTCGGGCTGGTGCATGCGGCGGCACATGGCCGAGTTGTCCTGGTGGAGCGGAAACTCGGAGCCTGGGATGAGGATGGATCGTCCCTTGCGAACGCTGTATTGGATCTTCAGCCCCGACACCTTCTCCGACTGTGTGAGCACCTCCCTGTTGGGCCCCAAGACATCATCATTGACATTCGTGTTAGAGGACGGCCCACAATACCGGTATTAGCGCTACACCTCTGATGGCTCTTCAAATGACATTGGGTTCACACAATTGGGGGACAGCACTTTTCCCACCCACCCTGCCACGACATGTTTGTCGCATGCCGGTCAAAAAGATCATTAAAAAATCTTAAGAGCTTAAATTGTGCCAAGTTAGATGAAGAAACAAATTTAATGTGATGTCTATTTTCAACATTTTTACTTACACGGTGATTGGTGACGACCGGCTGAGGCCATCAACTCACCGCGCTTGAGACCGCGGTCTCATCGAAGGTAACCGCCGCATGGATTCACAATTGGGGATCTCAACGGTGCCAGCTGACGGCGCCGACCTCCAATACCAACCGACCAACCGGCCACCGTCTGTCCACGAAGTCTTTAAAAATGATTGTTGTGTACGTTGACGGCCCTGCCGCACCTGAAGGGGAAGGTGTCTTTCTCCATCTGCATGCACACCAGGAACGGGTAGGAGTTGAACTTGACGGTGGTGGTGAAGTCCATGCCAGCCGCCGCCTCGGCGCTCAGCTCACTGTTCACCTGCAGGTGGCCCAGCGCCACGGAGACCACCCCGGACAGCATCAAGGCACCCCTAGTGGGTGCGTGCACAAAGGACAAACACAGGATCGTTTATTATTATACTGGTAGGAATGAAGTGAACCAGCCTACAATAGATTATATCGTCCGTCCGTCCGATGTCCGATTAGGTGTAGCAACATCGCCCCCTACTGCAAACACTTGTCAGGACCCTACAAAAACCTTTAGACTCAGTGAGGCTTTCCTGGCTAAACAAGTGTAACATTCCCTTATAATTCCCTGAGATAGTTTTTTAATTCCCTGAGATAGTTTTTAATTAAACCATTTAAATTAAAAATTAACTCATTCCCTGAGATAGTTTTTAATTAAAACATTTACATTAAAAATTAACTCACAGCGGCCTAAAGCCTACAGCTAGGCATAAAGCCTAGAACTAGGCCTCAAACTCTCCCTTCGTATCGTATTTGTTCGTTCCTACCAGCCCACCCCGCAGGGACCTGTTCATACAAGCTGAAAGGCATCACCATAACACATTACTCGAGGAATAGTGAGTTAATGCATACACGTTACCGATCGACCGTGACTTGTGGAATTTATATTCCAGCGTGGGCTACCAGGTTTATCGATTATTCTACCAGAAATCAGTTTGATTGCTCGACTAAACGGATGACTCAAAAAAGTTTTAAAAACGCCTCAGTCGCGGTGAGGAATCAAACTTAGGTCATCAGGTGAATGGTGCGGTGTGTGAACCACTGCGCCCCACTCCTCCCAAGCCTTCCCTTCTACCCCCGACCCTGCCCACTCTCCACACAACATTATAGGAATGTTGAATTTCAACCACACGTGTAGAGGCATAGTGATTTGCGCACTACACTACAAGCTTGGCAACCTGAGTTCGATTCCCGGGCATGGCTAACAAGAGTGTCCACTGATATCCGATGCAGTCCGAGTCATCCATATTTCACCAAACCGCGCTGAACCAGGGTGGCGAAGTATGGTCGAACAACCCCCATGACTGACGTGGCACGGTGACTCCTCCATCCAGCAGCATTGAATCAACAAAGCGCCGAACATTACAACGACGAACTCTAACTATCATTTCTCCTCCTCGAAGTGACGTACTTGTTGCGCACAATGGTTTTGGACTCGCGGTGCCACAGGCTGACGTCCATGCTGCCCGAGATGTCGATGGCCAGGCTTCCTTGAAACTCAACGTCGGCACGCAGCCCTGACGGCAGGCTCAAGTCCTGCAGGACAGACGATCGCGAGAGAAATTAATGAGACTTTAAATAGAAAAAATTCGTTGCCGCGGTGGCGAGATGTCGACTACCTCGCCTGATATATATACAGGAGGTCGCCGATTCAATCCCGACCCTGACACCTGTATATTTGGGATTTGCATGTTCTCCTCGTGCTCATGTTTAGAAACTATATGCGTTGAGAGTATTTGCCTGCTATAAATTTCAACGCAATAAGCCACTTCGTTGAGCTATCATTCGTGGCCAGGTCACTTCCGAAAAAGAAGCCACATAGTTCAGTGGGCCTTACCTGGTAAAATAGAAACAGTTTATAGTTTTAGTTTAATTGGCCTTTTATGCAAACCGGTGTTTAGGTGTATCCATATGTTTTTCATGAATTGAGCCCCCCACCTTGAGCTCCTAGGGGCTCCCGAATCTTTCCCTTCGCTTGCTCACGTCTCACACCGTTCACCTGCGAGTGATCGATCAGCAGGATGATGCCCTTGACGGCGGAGGTCGGCTCCCCCGTGGCGTCCCACATCTTGGCCATGAGGTCGCCGTAGCCGTGGAAGAAGGTGATTGGACGCAGCTGCACGTCGAAGAGGATGGGCGCCATCCCCGCCATCGAGTCCAGATCCTCCTCTCCCTCGTCCGGCGTGGCCGCAATTAGCCCCTCCAGTCCCTGAGCCTCCAGCGACACCTGGTCAATAAACAAACACATTCACAAACACACGCACAGACGTACAGCCGCTTTAGTTGTAAATCTGCTCGCTGCCGGGTGAGGGCCTTCCCCAATGTCGCGAGGCTGGTATGGGCTGGTCAGTGTGGGTTGGCTAAAGGCTGGGAGCTTAGAAGTACAGTACAATCGTGGATTTTGATGCACCGCCTTCTGCTGCCTGCCACGGAGCCCTGCAGCAGCATGTAACCTGCAGAGCTATAACGACCCAGCCATCCACTCAGCTACCCACTGAGCCAAATACACTCAACCAACTATGTATGTAAGTATGTATGTTGCACTTCTTTCGCACCGTACGTAGGGGGTGCGGGGAAAGAACAACAAACTACCCACTCAGCCAACCACTAAATCACCTGCCCCACCATCTACCCAACCTGCCACTCAGCCAACTTGCCCACTCAGCCACCAATTCAGCTACCCACTCAGCCACCTTACCTACCCACCCAACAATCACTCACTCACCTGCACAGCTTGCAGCTGGGCCTCGTGTGAGAAGAGGAACATGTTCATGTTGCTCTTGCGGAGCATGCCGGAGTTGGAGTAGAGGATGTTGAGGCTGTACGTGCTGGTCATATCCTTGGTTTCTGTACCGAATGACGGGACAGTCAATGTTTTTTTAGGGACATCTCAGCTATACATTGCCCAAGAGCATTTTGCGAGGCGATTCCACGTTTCCATTTCACGATGCCGCCCCTCACGTTTCACTCAAAAGGTTCGTCAGTCTGAAAACGGGCGCTTGGTTTTACGCGGTGTGGGGAGGGGTTTAAAAGAGCTAAGATCGATCCGGTGATTTTTTTGTACTTGATTGCATCAATTCAGTTCAAATTCCTGCAGTTAACTAGATGAAATCCCATTGTGCTTTTTTATGGGCACTTCGTTAATTGTTTCACTTTACAAGGTGCAGCGTGAACACCACCACATCGCTGCTCGACGACTTTATATTATCACAGGACCTTTAACCAGAGGTCACTTGTAAAGTGACCGGTAAAATCTACGGGCTACACAGAATTACCGGGACCGCATAATAATTATCTGTACAGGGTGTGGAGAAGGGGGGAGGGGGGGGGCTGAAGGGCGTTTGCTGTGCGTGCGCTCTCCCACTGACTGGACATGAAGCCGGAGTAGGCGGAGGAGGAGCCCGTCTTGGAGAAGCGGTCGTAGTTGTGCACGATGGGGTCTCGCAGCACCTGTCTGATCACCTGGCTGCTCGCCACACGGACACGCACGCGCTCATGCGGGCAGCCCCGTCGAGACGCACTCCCCGAGCGCGCGACACATCACCTCGCTCGTCCTCCGAAGGTTTTTTTTACGAATCGGAGTCGCAGTTTGTCTCAGGAAGCAATTCATTCGTCTCATTTGCATAATCTCGTTTAGACTGGAAGATATTTTCACAATTCTGGAAACTGTCTGATGATGCTGATTGTGACTACCAGAAAAATGTCTGGAACCAGTTACTAAATGTCTGTGCTGAAGCAGTCATGAATTGGCACGTTTGTTGACGTGACAAATTTTAATAATTGGCCGTGTCGGGTGGCAAAAGACATTTTTCTCAAACGATCCGACACAAAATTCCGAATAATGATATTGGTCTACGTGTTAAAATATATGTGGACTGTATCTTGTTTATCCCGTGCTGTTATTTGCCGATGCTCCATCTTTTCCAGTTTTCTTTTTCGGTAAAGTCACGGAGGTAAAAAATGTATGAAAAAGCAACTAAATTAAATCACGATGCTCCATCCAGCCGGTCGCAGCAACTTTCCGCACATCGGAAAAGTAATCCAGATGTAGCAGAACAATGCAGCATTATCCACGCCCACGCTTATCTTTACATGTTAAATTAGCGAAATATACGCTTTGGTCACGTAGATAGAAAAATAACTAATAGATCACGACGTTTCAATCGCAACACAAGCAATCGTCTTCAGGTTAAGAAAATACAGCAGGCGGACTGCTGAGGCAGGAAAAAAGTAGCGTGAGAGCAACTGTAGCCAAAGGTTATATACATTTGAGGTGGGTACAACCCAATGGTAAGTGGGCGGGGCTAGAGATAGCAAAATATGTGAATGTGGTGAAATAGGATTTCCCCTGCAACTGAACGAATTGGTTGATGGCACATGAGAAGGGCGGAGTGAAGAGTGGTAGAGGCAGGGTGTCATTTCAGCAGGGTCTGTCCGGCTCGGTGATCAGGTCAGTATTTGTCGGCTCGCGGCACACCACGTCCATCATACCTCTCGTTATGGCCGCCGATACGAGCAGTCACGTTCCTAACTCCAGCCTACCAGTAACCAGTGAGAAAGCAAGCACTGGGAATAGGGGTGGGAGAGAGGGAGGGAGCGAAGCGGGGGGTCGGGGGTGGGGTTAAGTGTGGCAGGGGGGACGGTGGAGAGGGTTGGGAGATATCACGGCACCTGGTAGGGTGGTGGAAGTGCAGGAGGTCGTTGACGCGCACCACCACGAACTTAGACATCTCGTTGGGCAGCTCGCCGACCGACAGCAGGATGTTGCGCACCTCCTCGAGGGACGGCTGCTTGGTGAGGATGAGCTCCATCGCGGCGACGCGCACCGTCTTCTCGTACACGCGCCGGTTCTGGTGGTAGATCCTGTTGAGCGCCGCCCGCACCTGCAGCGGCAGCAGCAGCAGAAGCGGCGGCGGCGGCCGCAGCGTTCCGCGCAAGTCAGCCGCTTGCGGAGGAGCGCGGCCGGCTCAAAGGTCGCGGACCCTGAGCCAGCGCTGCCGGGATTGCCTGGTAGTTGCGTCTGGGATTCAGGTGCCTCTCATCAAAGCGGTTTCTCAAGTGCAATTGTGAAATAGTCTCGGCCAGGACGGTGAAGGCACCATGAAAAAAAAAACACGTAATAAAAATAGGTTCATCGTTTAGCACAATTACCACTCTGAGAATTAAAGAAATATTTGTTTGACACCCCTATGACGAACATGACTCATGTGTGTGCATATCTTTACGTGCATGTGTAAATGTGAGCTTGTACCTGGGAAACGGTAGTGCAACAGTTAGCACGCTGCGCTACGAACCCGACGACCCAAATGTGATTCCCGTTCACGGCCAGCACCAGTAACGATTATCTGAACCGGTCCTGGGCCAAGTTTGATTCAGCTTCAAATTGAGTACCCGGTGCGATGTGCAAACATCGCCACTGGGGAGACAAATTCGGTCAGGCGTGGTGCTGGCCACTCACCCCCATCGTGTGGCCTTCATAGATGCTCGCTAACAGCACTTGCCCCAACAGCCTCTTGAGGCTACACGGTGGAAGGGGGAGGATCTTTGTCTCTGTGTGTGCAAGTGCCAACGCTGGCCGCACCTCCGGCGTGATGAGCTCATCAGGGAACCGCTGGAGGCCGGAGATGGCGATGACGCTGCTGGCGCCCGAGCCGACCTCGGCGTGCCGCGCGAACAAGCCGACCGTGTCGGGCAGCAGCGTGTTCTTGAGCGCCAGCAGGAACGCCTGAGCCTCCGCGTCCGAGGCGGCGCGTTCCAGCCCCGCAAACAGCAGCTCCCGCGCCTCCACCACCGGCTGCACGCGGACGGTGCGGGCGGGGAGGGGGGGGGGAGACAAAGACGATGTGGGGTGTTGCTGCTGCCGCCGCCGCCGCTGTTGCCGAGCGCACGGCGGCGCGTTTGCAATGCGCAGATGTGGACGGGGTGGAGGGCTCTTACCGCAGAGTCGCACTGCCCGGCCTGACACAGCTTCCCGACGAGGGCCCCTATCACGATCACCAGCGTGTCGCTCGTCTGCGACTGAGCGATCGGCAACTTCAGCTTTTCCTGACGCGGAGACAAACAAACACGTAAGAAATATAACGCCTTGGAAAATTATACGGTTGTCTTAGCGTATGTACCCCTGGAGCGATGGTTAGCACACTTGAACTTGTCAAGCAGAGGTCGCCGATTCGATCTCCTGGGGGGGGGGTCCATGACATCAAGGAATGGCATGGACCCCCCCCCCGCCCCCCATTCCAATTTATCCTCCCCATGTCATAGAGCGGGGCCTGGGCCCCTCTGGCCTATGGGCCCTGATGCAGTTGCATCACGTGCACACTATGCCACTGACTGAACCCCAGGGACATTCTTTTAAAACTATTAAACTAAAACGAAACTATTTCAAATAGAAAACTTTTGTTTTAACTGTTTTTATTTTACCAGGTAAGGCCCACTGAGCTATACAGCTGATGTTCAGAAGCGACTTGACCACAAATTATAGCTCAACGAAGTGGCTACCACGTGAAAATTTATAGCAGCCAAATACTCGAAACATGTGATTTTGATTCTGAATGCAGAGGGAAAACCCGGAGGACCCTACGCGACCACGGAGAGATAGATATGCAAACTCCACATACACAGGCGTCAGTCGGGATAAAACCCATGGAATCCTGCATACCAGGCGAGGTAGTTAACATCTCACCACCGTGGCGCCCCCACTCTGGCTTTTCGAACCTTTTGCATTCACACCGCATGCAGTGGCATTGCGTGGACGGCGTGGACTCCCACGCAAGGCAATACGATGGGGCATCCCCTCTCCAGCGTCCTCTCTTTGTAATTACTGGGAGCATGGGAACCCCCCCCCCCCACCCACTCTGCGGCTCGTGGGACCCCCTCGCGCAGCCGCACCGCCTACACGCTCGGTCAGCCACGCCACCAAACTGGCCGCGTCGGTGGTGGGGGGGGGGGGGTGAACCCCCGGGGGCTCACCAGCAGGCCGGAGAGCAGCTGCTGCGAGGGCTTGGTGGCGAAGGCGCAGGCGTAGAGGAAGCGCTCGTGAGCCTCCGCCATGCTCCCCTGGGACAGGTCGAGGAAGCGGAGCAGCGCCCGCAGCGACGCGTCGGTCTGCGTGGCGCTCATCGCGTCGATCAGCTGCAGCCTGGGGCGGGCAATGTGCACGCGAGCGAGGCGTGCGCGCGGCAAAGGCTTTAATGGTGACAGCTATGGCAGTGGTGGATCGATAAAATGATGATTGGATGACAAATCGATGGTTCTTATTCCTGGCTGAGAATGAGGATGATTGAAATTAATTGTTGGATCGTGTTAAAATGATCACATGATAATGATTCTATGATAATTTGATCATATAATGTTCGACGATAATGGTGGTGGTGCTGATGGGTGGTTAATAATCATGATTATTTAATCAATTACTACCGTATTTAATAATATTAATGTTGATAATTCGATTGATAACAATGAAATATATTTGATAGCATTATCGGATGATGATGATAATAATGAATTAATGGACGATGATGATCATCGATGGGATGATTGATGATAGTTATGATCACACACAAGACCAGATGCTTATTTAAGGCTGATTTGACTAGGGGAGTCCCATGACCGGTCCAAATAATCGCCACTGGTGTTGGCCGTGAGCGGTTTAAATATCACCCGCCACTGATGTTATAGCATTTAATAGACTGTAGGGTAAGTGCTGTTAGCAAGCACCTATGAAGGTTTGGACGTTGCACGAGGGGGTGGGTGGCCAGCATTATGCCCGACCACTTTTGTCTCCCCAGCAGCATTGTTTGCACACCGCACGAGGTACTCAGTTGAGGCTGAGACGACCTAGGAGAGGCCCATGACCGGTCCAGATAATCGCCACTGGTGTTGGCCGTGAGCGGTAATCGAACTCGGGTCACCCGGTTCGTCGTGCAGCGCTCTATCCGCTACGCCATCGCTCTACACCACTACCCGCCATTCGCCACTAAGTGACAGTGACATCAGCACGGCGCCTGTGCCAGGCCAGGCGAACTCTGAGGCCATTTGAAGTGTCGAAGGCTCGCTGGCAAGAGGTCACGGGACAGACCCAGCAGGTGCCACGGGTCGACTGACTGAGATGACTGGCCAGATGCACCAGCTGTGAACCCCACTACATCGCTCTACGCACACACACAAGACAAAGATCCCCCGTATAGCCTTAACAGGCTGTAGGGGCAAGTGCTGTTAGCGAGCACCTATGAAGGCTGGAACGGTACACGAGGGGGTGGGTGGCCAGCACCACGCCCGACCGCCTTTGTCTCCCCAGTGGCGATGTTTACACACCGCACCAGGTACTCATTTAAGGCTGAGTCGACCTAGGGGAGGCCCGGGACCGGTTCAGATAATCGCCACTGGTGTTGGCCGTGAGCGGGAATCGAACCCTGGTCGCCAGGTTCATAGCGCAGCGCGCTAACCGCTACACGACCGCTCCCCACACAAGACAAACACACACACGTGCAGCACGGTGCGCCGTGCCCGCCGCCTCCGCGCTCTCACAGCGTGTCCTTGGGCTCGTCCTCGAGCAGCCGCAGCAGCTCGCCGTACTCGGCGCCACGGAAGGCGCGCACCAGCTTGAGGAAGCTGCGCGTGGTGACCGTCTGCGACAGCGTCTCCGGATGCAGGTGCCTCCGCACGGCGCTCAGCTGCTTCTTCGCCTGCAGAGAAGCCCCACCGCCCAGCGGCTATCAATAGGGAGTCTCTAGGCAAGCGACTGTCTTTGGGGAAGCGACCGGCAGACCGCTTAATTGATGGGCGCTATTTAGACAATAACATGGCTCGGCTTGTCGCTGATGGGGTTTCTAAACAGTTGCTGACAGGCCTGTCACAATTGGTGTTTCTGGAAAAAAGACTGACAGATTGGTATCTCAAGTGGTCTTTCGGCAATATATATTGATGGAACAGTCTGCGATTCGGGCTCTCGACAACTGACTTGACATACTGATTGCCGATGGTGTTTCTAAACAAAAGATTGTTCGACTGGTCACTGATGGGGTCTTTAGGTCACTCACTCTCAAACGTCCCTAACGTGAGTCATCACTCACATCACCGATCATTGCCCCACAGACACTTTCATAGGAGGTTAAACAATAATCCATCTGGCAACCCCAGATGCCATCGAATGGCTTTACAAACTCAACACACAGTTTTAAGCTTGTGTTGTACTTTTCAAAATGGCATGCGAATATCTGTCAGACCAGTTACTGATTGGGTATTTAGGCAACAGGTTTATAAATAAGTCTCTGATAGGGTATTTAAGCAATGCATTGACAGACTAGAATTTATTGCAGTTACTAGATAATACTGACTAATTGGTGTCTGATGGGAGCTGTGCATACTATGCTGCAGATATGTAAACTTTAGGCAAGATACATATTTAGCCAATCGACTGAGAGAGCAGTGTCTCATGGGTATTTGATGGGGTTTGTCACCAATGGATTGACAAATCTGTCTTTGACAGGGCTTAAACGCACTAAATTGACAACTCATTCTCTGATCGTGTCTTTCGACAAACGTCTGACAGTATTTCATGCGGACTGCTCCTATACAGAAGACCAACAAAGTGATTAATGACGGGGTGTCTGGCAAACAGATCGCAAACTCGTCTCTGATTGGGTCTCGAGGCGAGAGGCAAACACGCCAGCCTCAGGAGCCTTGAGAATGCCGAGCCGCGTCCAAACCAACTGACCACGTACCTATTTTAAAACCCCCTCCCCCCCAAAAGCGAAGGCCACTGGGCAATAGCTGCGGTGTGTGCAGAGCGGTGTTGCCAACTCACCAAAATTTGCCCCAAGATCTAGCGACTTTTAAGCGTTTCTCAAGGGGCAAATGTTTTTTTTATTTCTCAACGACACGCGGAGCGACTATGCGTGACGAGGACTTCACACCGATTTAGGAGCAATTCCAAGTCCTGTGTCAGTTTACTTGCGGATAATGCAGCCATCCCTCGGTTAACAGTGGCATCGGTTAACAGTTTTACGGTAAACGTTTCGCCTCCCATAGGACCCCCTGGTTTCGACTGACGTTAACATTTTGATTCACGGTCGGTTACATTAATCACGCGTGCACCAATTACAGCCAACCCGAGCACTTGTAAGTGGGGGCTGAGGCATGCCCTCGGCGTTCAGACCTCGACTGGCTTTGTTTACATTGTGTTTTCTGTTTTGGTCGTGGAAACAGCTTTCTTGCAGACTCAGTTATTTTGACTTACTTTTAAACTGAAAAGTGAATTCGATGAACAGTTACTTTGGTTCACAGTAGTTTCCGTGAAAAGAATTAAAAACATTAACCGTCAGACCACTATACTTCATACACGTTCCAGTAACGTCTTTTGACAACCCTAAAAGTTCCACCTAAGTGGCGCGTAGCGACTTCAGGACGTTAGCTTGCCCACTTTTTTCCGCTTCGAGCATTTGGCGACACCCGGTCCAGCGGGCATCGGAAGCTGACAGTCAAGCGCTTACCGAGGGGCAGCTGGCGCACTCGTGGCGCAGCTTCTCGGATGGCAGTGGGCGGCTCGCGTGCTTCCCGCCGGCGCTCGCCACCGCCTCCTTGGCCGTCTTGGCCTTCAGCTGCTTGGCGCCGCCCTCGGCCGAGAGCATCTCCAGCCGCTGCCTGCACGGTGGCGCAGCGGGGCGGACGGAAGGGAAGCGTCACAAGTTACGGGCGCCGCCACGCGTTGGGGAAGGGGGAGAGAGGGAATGGCTGAACCAGAGGTCGCAACCGGGTACCCGATACCCGTACCCTACTCGATACCCGGCTACCCGTACCCGGCCGGGTACGGGTACGCGTAGGCCGTGAGTCACTGGTGAGTAACCGTTTGTCACAATTCAAGTTCCTAGAATCAACCTACCCGCGCCTGCAACATGGCTTCATCCCAGAGGTCGCAATCAGGTACCCGATACCCGTACCCTACCCGTACCCGGCCGGGTACGGTTAGGGTACGGGTATGGCCGGGTACGGGTACCCGTTTGCGACCCTGGTGCGGCCGGGTACGGTTAAGGAATCAAAACCCGTTTGCGACCTCTGGGCTGAACGCACGAGCAGGGTTGGTGGTGAGAGAGCGGACACGAGTGAGCACGGTCCCAATCAAAGTTCATATCTCAGAAGCGAAGTTTTTGGCTGAGCCCGGTTGATACTTGGATGGCAAACTACCAGGGAGTGTCAGGTGCTATATATATGCATTGTGTTTTTATTGACTTGCTTACCATTCATATATATAGTCTAGTTTTCGTGAATGCTGTGGTTGTCACATCTGATAATGATTGCTTGTGTTGCAATCGAAACGTCGTGATGTAATTTATTTATTTTGTATCTTTTATTTTTTATTTTTTTTACCTACGTGACTTTACCAAAAGATTCTAGATTTGAAGCTTTCGTGACTGCAAGTATTCATATTCTTAGGTTTTTTCGGTAAAGTCACCAAAAGAACCAAGAGTATATACCATGTATACACTTTGCACTCCGATCAGTTTTTGCACTGTTTGTTGCTGTAACTTTCTGACCCGCCCCTACTGGGCATCTGTGAAAAATAACTTCAAAGTTCACGGGATTCAATCTTGATTTGAAGCTTTCGTGACTGCAGGATTCCATACTCTTTGGTTCTTTCGGTAAAGTCACGTAGGTATAAAATAAAATAAATCACGACGTTTCAGACGCAACACAAGCGTCCATCATCCCACCTCATGGGATTCTTTAAGTCTAAATTAAGATTCAGATTTCTGAGATCGACAAGAGCTGCAGGGTGGTGAGGTGATGGCACTACGGCTGAATGTAACTCAGCGGAGTCTTGTCTGCGTACTGTGGGCTTTTTCCAGGTTTTCCAGTTTTCTCCCCATAAGTTACTCGCTATTTGAATTGGCCAACCATCCAAATGGAGAACCGCCCCAGACAAAAGTCTTAAGACTTGGGGAGGCTTTCCTGAGTTCATTAAGGACATTCTTGGTTTTAAGTAGCAATAATGTCCTTTATTTGTGTGGTAACGATAACAATGGAACTGGTATTTTAACATTGAAATTGTGTGGCCCTAACGATAATTGCAAGAAACATGGCAATGGGCAGAGACGATATCTGGTTTATGACAGCATTTACCCCAAAGTCTCCGCACCCTCCAGTGCAGTCGTAAATGGAAGGACTGTACGGGCCTCATTCTGCCCTTTTGACTCATTATCCCCGCGGTTGGATCTGGAGATGATAACCACGAGAGCGTTGTGTGACACTCTCTCTCCCTCGCCTGGTATGCTGGAGGTCGTGGGTTCAATCCCGACCCTGACGCCTTTTGTATATTTGGAGTTTGCGTGTTTTCTCTCCCATTGGTCGTGTGGATTTTTCTCCGGGTCCTCTGTTTTTTTAACCCTCCACATTTAGAAACGTGCGTTTAGATCACGCGGCTGCCGTACATTCCCACGTGATAAGCCACTTAGTTGAGCTATCCATCGCGGCCAGGTGGCTTCTGACAAAACATCTGCATAGCTCAGTGGTCCTTACCTGGTAGGATAAAAATTTGTTCAGTTTAGTTTTAGACCGAGGCCGAGTTTCCCCTTTGTACCTGCTCACCACCGTCTTCCCAACCTCAGTGCGCATGTTGAGGGTGATGCCGTGCGTCTCTTCCAGCGAAACAGACTTCAGAAAACCGCCCTCAAAAGTGTACGACGCCACACTCTTTGGGCTCCACTTCAACCCGAGCACCTAGGAGGGGGGCGGAGTATTCATCATCATCATCAGTCACGGTCTCTCCGCTGCTGGTTAAAGACATCCCGAACCAAGTTGTCGCTATCTCTCACAGGCATGCGACGCAACTATCCATCCATCCAACACCTGCACACGAGCTGATTGCATCACTCCATCTTCACACTGGATATGTTCTCTCCTTTGGCCGCAAGTCCATTGTTAGTTGTGACCACTGGCCACTGTCCCTTCGAGGGGCGCGTCCTGCACAACCGCGATTACTTCAGTCGATTGTCAAAATAACGTCCCTAACTTCTATAGGAGGTCAGAATCAGAATATGTGTTTACACAGATGTCCAGTAGGTGGACAGGAGGTGGAAGTATTTAGGTACCAGCCCATTGTCAACCATTATGAACTATAAACTATTATATCCTGTGCAGGTGAGTTCTGGACTAATGTGCCGATTTTGAGATCAACTATTTGATTTCGAAATAAGAAGCTTGCAACGAAAGATAATCTCATTGGTATAGTCTACTGGTCCGTCAAACGTCTAACACGTTAATCCATAGCTTATATATATGAGGCACATTATCTAATTCACATTGCCTGCACACGGTCTTCGAACACTGCAATTTGGATTGATTTAAATTTGGCATAAAGGTCACGACTTTGTCATAATGTGATTCCGAGTTCTCTTCCACGTGTTTAATTTCCCTGAATTGTGGCCAAATGGGTGATTCATATGGCCAAATATGTAGAAAAAAACTGTGGATTATAATCAAAGAACACGATTAGAATAATATATAATTTTTACGACTCTCATCTCTTGAACTCGGATCAAGGTTCAGTGGGGGGTAAGCATGCCTTATCAGCAAGCGATTGCCCTCAATCTCAGGCAGCCCTCTGATTCTGCTACAGCAGCACCCAAGTCCTGCACTGCTCCACGCAGGTGCTGCCACGTGGCATGTCGCGCGTGGGCTGTGGGAATTACGGCAAGTGGAACGGGCATCACAATGCGCTTGCTTAACCCTGGAAATCCTCAGCGAGTCTCGTGGCTCTTACTCAGGAGGGTACTGTTACGTTTTCGAAGTAGGGTGTGTAGGTATGTACGTATGTATATATGTGGGGAGCGGTAGTGTAGCGGTTAGCGCGCTGCGCTATAAACCCGGCAACCGAGGTTCGATTCCTGCTCACGGCTAACACCAGTGACGATTATCTAAACCGGTCCCGGGCCTCCCCTAGATCGACTCGGCCTAAAATGAGTATCTGGTGCGGTGTGTAAACATCGCCACTGGCCAACCGTGCGAATCGGAGGTGCGGGGGAAGGACAACAAACTAAACACAAAAAGCAGTTCGAAAGGTACTCAAATTAGTACCCTGCACTCATAGTTCAAATGAGTAACTTGTGGGTAACATTTCAAATATCGCAAATGTGGACCATGATGCTGGAGCGCACACAACGGCCTACTCTTGAGAACGACGCCGTGGGATCTTCAATGCAGATGGCGCGCCATGTTTTATGGATGATGATGATGATGATAATGATGAAACACACGGCAGTATTAACCAGGGTGGCTGCTGGACTTTAACCGCGAAGCTCCACGACCGCCCTACCACTGGGCGCGTTTTAAGCGTGCGAATGCAGCAACACTGGCACCTCCCGCGCGGTGTTCAACGATGCATCCATTCACTCAAATTACTACGATTCTGGCGATTCACGATACACACGTTGAATTGCGTGTGTGAAAATAAATGCTATGCACATTGCGTGACAACTCTGTGTTTGGGACTCATTGTGCTTGAACAAAATAGTGCAAACAAGACAGACGATAGAAGCAATAATACAAAGAAGACAGTGAAAAAACTCACCACAAATTCGTGAGAAAAAAATACGAAAGTGCAGCCCAGAATCGTGAAAATGGAATGAACGCGGGGGTGAATTGTGATACTGTACATCTATTGCACCAGCTGAAGCTCTACATTGACCTGAAGGGGCCTTTGGGTGTAACAGTGCATTGACTGATGTCAATTATTAAGCTCCATTTACATTCATAGAAACGTGTGCGTAAGAATGAATGTTTTTTGATTCATATATTCATTGGCACGCTCGCCACTTGAGGTGTTACCATTCAACGCACTGGTAAAAAAACACCCAAAATGTATTTTGAATCGTGACGGTGAAGTGCAGAAATTCATTGAATGTCTGGGGAGGGTCTGATTTGTTCCATATGAAATCATAAGCCTCGCAAAAAACTTCGAACAAAGTAGAGAGAGATGGTACGTCTCTGCAATGTGCGTGCACAATTTGCTCGCTGCACTCAGACAAGAAAAAAATGCCTTCAAAACATTTCATTGTTGACGCTAATGCAATCAAATCAAATCCCTTCACTGCAACGGCACCTTGTTAGTTGCGGAAGGCGCGGTCTGATGGTTGCTGCAACTCTTCAGGTCCTTGACCTTGGTCACCTGACCCGAATTGACCTCGTAGGTGACCTTGCACTTTCCGGACACATCGATCTGAGAGGACGACGCGAGAGAAAACAGAACGAGCACGAAAACATGAGAGACATCGCGCTCAATTCCCACAGTGAGCGGTGCATCGTACCATTGCACGTGTGTGATGCATGTTCGCGTAGCGGCTAGCGCACTGCAAACCAGACGACCCGAGTTTTATTTTCGCTCATGGCCAACACCAGTGACGATTATCTGAACTGGGCCTCCCATAGATCGACTCAGCCTCAAATGAGAACCTGTTGTGGTGTGTAAACATCGCCACTGGGGAGACAAAGGTGGCCAGGCGTGGTGTTGGCTATCCACCTCTTCGTGTGTCGTGCCGGCCTTCATAGGTGCTCGCTGACAGCACTTGCCCCAAAAGTCTGTGAAGGCTATAGGGTGGATCTTTGTATTTGTATGTATGTTGGACTTCTTTTGCACCATACATAGCCAACCATGCTAATCAGAGATGATGCAAAACCGGTCCTGGCTTCTGCATCACCATCCATCCCCCTACCAGCCCGCTCTGATCTAAATGGTGCAGTATGTCTTCTTGGTTCTTTCGGTAAAGTCACGTAGAAGGGAAGTAATAAAATAATAAAAATAAAACATAATAAAGTGAGAATTATATATTATTTCATTATATTATTTTATTATGTTTTATTTTTATTATTTTATTACTTCCCTTCTACGTGACTTTACCGAAAGAACCAAGAAGATGAATCCCTGCAGTCACGAAAGCTTTAAATCGAAATTTGGTGCAGTATGGTCAAATAAGCCTCATGACCTGCATAGACTGGGAAGGCCTTCATCCAACAGTACATAGCCAACCGTGCTAATTGGAAGGACAACTAAACGAAACACAAAAAGCAGTTCTAAAGAAATACATTTTCAATGTAGACTTAAAAGTGCATAGCTCCAGTGGCTTCCCAATATCGGAAGCAAGAGCGTTCCAGACGGTCGCAAAAGCGCATTGGAAAGTGCGCGATGTGGCGTCCATCTTTGTTCGATGGCTCGCCAAAATCCACTGCTGTGAGGATAACTGGGGATCGTGTGATGGTTTATGCTCCTTGAGGAGATCAGCAAAGGTATTCTGGTTAATTTGTGGCAAGCACTTTGTGTTTAATGAGCGGGACCTTATGATGTATTCGTTCGGCAACCAGGAAGTGGTACTACATTGAGGCTGTGGACATGGGGGCCTGCCCCCCTCCCATGAATCGTTAGTGCCCCCTTAGTGCCCCCCGTCCCCCGCCAGAATTGGTACCGCTTCGTGGTACCCTCCCCCCCCCCCACTCCCCCACCCCTGCAGTGACCGTCAAGGGCACCGCGGGTCTCACCTCGGTGGCCTCTCCGCTCGACAGCTGGAACTGCAGCAGGCTCACAAGGCCCCGCTTCAAGTTCTCCACCACCACGGGCTCCCCCGGCTCCACGTACAGCCCCTCCACCTGCGCGTCGCAGCAGTCGCGCGCCGCAACGGCCACAGAATTAGAACGTGTCCACCACCGTAGGCTGGGGGACCGGGGGAGGGAGGGGGGCTATTGCTCCCAAACTTGGCAGAAAAGCACGACCCGCTGTGGTCAGAATGGAGTGCGTAGGCACGCAGAGACCGAGGATTTGGAATTGTGAGTTTGTGAGTGAGTGGGTGAGTGAGTGAATGCAAGGTTGAGCGAATGCTTTCGTGAGCTGGCAGGTGCGTGTACCTGCATATTGCACCACAGGGAAGTAGGGGGCTATTGCCCGCCCTCCCACTTGGCAGACTGGGAAGACGAACAATAATACATTTAGCCCCTACCTATGAAAATTTGTATCCATCTGAACAGGGGTGAGGACAAATTGACTTCATTTTAATGGTAAAACGTACGTCTTCTGCATTTTTTATTTTTGTTAAAATTGAATCTGCATTACCTTAAACATATAACGTGCTATACATTCCTTAAGCGGATAGATTCTCTAGGTTAGGGGTTGATTTAGAGAAAGTACGTTGTGATCTGAGATGTATGGAGCTAAGCTACTACCCTTTGGCTACAGCTCCTCTCCACAAAAAAGTGCAGATGTTTGTTTTCCCTGTTGGGCATTGCCGAGACGCACGGTGTCACCTCAGACTCTCCATCCTTCTCATGCGCCTCCACCCCTCCAGCTCCATCACCCACGGGTTACGCGTGCCGGTGAGCGGCGTTGGCTCACCTTGTTCTGGGTGATGAGAACGAGCGTGGGAGCTTGCAGGGCCTTCATCCCAGCCGCTGCCAGAATTCCGTCTCCGCCCGCCGCCCTCGCAGCGTCCTGCTTGGCCGCTCGCTCCGACACGTTCCCGAAGTGGACGTCGCTCAGCTGAGAGCAAGGCACACGCTCGCATCATTTGATGATTCTTTGAACAGGAATTAGGCTCATCAATCAACACGAAGCGCATAACAAGGAGTTCAAGTTGAGCAACATTATTCACTGTGTTGTGCTGTTAAAATATGTGCGGAACATGATAACTTGGTTTGAGCGAAAGTTGCAAAATAACAAGCGTAAATATCACTACAAAACCCAACTAACGAGTCAATTTAATTGCAGTTTTTCTGGCTTATATACGTCGACTACAACAACTTAACATTCCACTCCAATGGAAGATAAAATGAACTCAAAATGTAATTTTAAAAAGTACTAAATATATATGTGAAGGCACTTTCACCTCACAAACATAATTAGTCTAAACCAAATTTAACTCTGATCAAATAACTAAGAGCATACAATTGAAGGGATGTCCAAGGGATGTCCAAAAGTAATGCCTCTTGTTTTTTTATCTCAACTTTTTATTGATCTGACACAAAATGTTAATCATTAATTGGAATGGCATGCACATTTGGCTAATTTTAAACATAGCCTACCGTCTTTTCTATGTCCTTGCACCAATGAGGAATCAGGGCCAGTGTTTAATTAGCTTCAAATAAACATTTGCGAAGGGAATACTGCACCACAGCATCGTGATAAATACATTGTCCAAATAGGTCATCTCGCGAGAGGAGCCGAACAAATTAAATATGAGGGCACCAGATCTGGGCTGCATGGTGGATGGGGGGCAGCGTAATCCATCCGAACTGTGCATCGGCCTCTTTTGTTCTCAACATAGTGTCCATTCCAGCATTGTTGTGATGGTGGAGGGACTGGCCATATAAATGTCCTGAATGCGTTTGCCGAATATGTTCCAGTAAATTTCTTGAGCCAAATGCATGAGTGCAAACAGGCATGTAACGATGCATCAATTCCTTGGTTCGAAACAATTCCAACGCTTCCAATGCATGCACTGAATCAAGAGTGTGGAATTCTATTATGTCCAATTTATGAAACATTTTTGCCATTTTAAATACGTACTAACGTTACATTTAGGCTAGCGGAAAGAAGAAAACTAAACTGTGCAAACTTAAACGAAAAGAACAATACAAACGAGACGAAAAAGAGCGACAGAAAGAACAAATTCTTGAATTGAATCACAATCTCTAAATCATCACGATTCATCGAATTGCTGGCTGGTTGTCGGAGTAACGGGGTGGCGTGGCAACTTATTGTCACGTGCCTTCGCATAACATTCATATGCAATGCAAAACGTCAATGAGGCGCTTCAACGTGAGCCGGCTTTCTTCGCCGCGCTGACTCCGCGCGGCACGGAGCGAGCGGACCCACTCACCGTGACGCTCAAAAGTTGCTGCTCCTTGCTGGACCACAGCACAGCGAGGTGCACGCGCCCGTCCAGGCTCACCCCGGCCACGTGCCGGCCTCCCGGGCCTGTCGCCTCGGGCCCTGTCGCCACGCTGGCGCTGTAGGCGTACGCGTAGCGACGTCCCCCGCGCCAGCGGCCCGAGATCGGGCCATCTGGGTCAGGGGGGGTGGAGGCGTGACACGGGGTTGAGGATTAACACTGCGGAAGGGGCTTTAAGGGGCTGTGGCCCAGGGGTTGGGTTTTCGAGTGTGGCCCACTCAAAATTATTTATTCTATTATCTGGATTGTGACGCACGTTTTACTCCTACACTGTGTAACTTAAAACAACCCAGTGCAGAATGCTTCTGAAAATAATGTTGGGACTCAATTGCACTTGCCTAGATATTTTAATAACATTTTAAACAAAATTATCATATTCAAATTCTCTAACACAATTGCCTCAGTGGCTCATTGCTGGCTTATTGTCTAGCCTCATCGACCTGCTGAACCATAATTCATCTTGTCACTCCCGTATAAGCATTTTAAATACATTTTGCTTCAGGTTTTAATTCAATCACATCACATTTCAATTTGAATGAAAATAACGTCCCTGAAAATGGATTTCGGAAACAAATATTTACATATGTATTATTGTTTGAAGGAATTATTGTAGATTGTATTTTGAACATGTGATTGACATTTGTTACAAGTATTTTCTACGTAACCCCTTTGTGTTATGAAGCTACATTTGATGAATGAAAAACACATTTCACACTCACTTCTGATTCTATAAAAAAAAAACTTATCCATCACGATATTTTCTTCCAGTTGCCACTGTTTGAGATAAAGGTGAACAATAAATGAAATAACACCCATTGACCACAGTTCAGTGATCATCTGGTACAAATAAGTGAAGCCCCAATGCAACGAACTAACCAAGGAATAAGCAATAAGGGTAACTGTTAGACATTTAGACATACAATCCATCACTTATTGAGAAAACACCTAAAAGAAAGCAAGTCCTGCTCATTAAATAAAAAAAACTGTTAAAAAAATGTTGCTTTATCAGATAAGACAGTTAAACCCTGATTAGTGGGAGTACTATTTGGTTGAGGTCAGAAGTCAAGGTACGTTGTGTAACGACTCCACCTCTGGCTCCTGGACCATGCGTGGCTGCTGGGGTAAAGGTAAATCACAGTTTATCGCGAGTGCCGCCGTGTCTACTCCGTACTTCGGCAACCTTTCGCCCCCCCCACCCACCCCCCATATCCACCTGTTGGGTGTCGTAAACTAAAAACAGCATCAGCCGTACGTGTGAATGCGCCCTGATTGAGTCAGGGATGTCAACCAGGTGATCCAACGTGGAATGTAAAAGGGTGCTCAATTAAAATAACCACCATTTCAAGTCAACGATGGCCTGAGAGAAGGGCCCCGACCATGTGAGGATTTGAGGCTCAGCCGTCAACCCCCCCCCCCCCTGTTCCATTTGGAACGATGCCATCTCGATGTCGGGGACAGTGCTGACTGGTTACCCATCGATTTGTGCACACGTGGCAGAGTGGATTGTCGAATGTCCATTCCCGTTGCACCGCAAGGGAACGCGGATGAGCATGCATGTCTCTGTGTATCACTGCGTGCTGAACTTCTTTCACACCGTACGTGGCCAACCGTGTTATAATCGGAGGTGCGGGAAACATCTCTGAACAGCTGTTTATTTTTTGTACTAAAGACTCCGACGGCTCGGCTGACACTGTAGGAATGTAGTGGAAAGGTGTTACTGTCGGTGCTTCGTGTCACAGAAGAATCTGCATTTCCAAGAACGCAGAGCAGTACAGCATGACGTGTACTTTATGGCATAACCACACTTTGCAATTAGTTTATTTTTAGTGTTTTGACGTTTCATACGTCAATTCGTTTTTGACGATTTCTATACTGTTCGTACTTTTCGATTTGAATCTAGCACGAGTAATTTTCAGGCTGTGCCTTGTATGAATACAGATCGACGTTTTTTGTGAGTGCATTTTCCTTTTTGTTGTTTTTAGCGCAGGTTTCTTTTGAAAATCACTTTGGGTCTTAAAAGAGATCCCACCAGTTTTCAAGGACGACAACGATAACGACATTTATAACTCGTAAGATTTTGCAGACAAGTCAACGACTCTAGAGGCACGGACGAATGACTACTTACGAATTATGGCTGAACGATTAATCGATTTCCATTCGAAATCGCAATTTTAAACAATGCGATTAGCAATTCGCAAAGGCTGCGATTTTTAGCGATTTGAAAAGTCCTATTACTTTCTTATTGCAATTGTTTTAGTTTGTATTTTTATAACTGTATTTATTTTACTTAACAATCGTTCTGTTTTATTGTTCTATTTCAATTACATTTTTTTTATAAATACATGTTGGAAGCAATTCATATCTTTTAAGTTCTCATCCTTGAATTCGAATATATAGAGCAGTTCATATATTGATGGTAGCATGTGATTATGCTCCATCACATGTTTTAAATCTATTACACAGTGAATATTGAACTGAAGCGTGACTTCAAAAAATGTCATCGCAAATCAAATCGCAATCGCAAAATCTGTCAGAAAAATCGCAATTAGATATTTCCCCCAAATCGTTCAGCCCTATTACGAATGCCTTCACACATGAAACATATATTTGAAAGGCGAAAAAAAATCCGCGATCGAAACACAAAGATGCAATGGCAAAGTGTTAGAGCATTAAAAAAGAACAAGCATCATCAGCAGCGATAGAGGTTTCCACGATTCGGCGCTCGAAAATGCCACGCCGCAGGTTGACAGCGGGGCCAGAGGTGCGATTACAATCCAAATGGCATCTTACCTGTTTTCGCAGTCGAGCAGAGGACGGCACAGATGAGGATGGTGAGAGACAGGACCCTCTTCATGATTGATTCAAATCGAATTACGTTGTGTGTGTTGACTGTTTAGGGCTACCGAATGCTGTTTGAACCGGAGGCTTGCGCTGTTCTTTTGTTTGTTAAAGAGAAAGGACAGGACTGGTGTAGCCACGGAGCTTTAAAGGAGTGAGAGGAAGGGCGGCAGAGTGACGTTCACTCCAATCTCAGGGCCCCAAAGTGTAAAGTCCAACAGGAGCGGGATGGCCATGGTTAATGATTCGTGTGCCGACACAGATTCTCACAAACAGCGAGCCCCGAGTTCAGATTGCAAAAAGAAAACCACACACACACACCACTCATTTCTAGTTGTGAGAAAATGAACGCTTGCGTGATGAGGACAGAAATTGTCTCCAGCCAGGAGCGACAGCCACACTCGGGGTGTTGGGGGGGGGGGCGACAGCCCCACTCGGGGTGTTGGGGGGGGGGACAGCCACACTCGGGGTGTTGAGGGGGGGCGACAGCCACACTCGGGGTGTTGGGGGGGGGACAGCCACACTCGGGGTGTTGGGGGGGGGGCTAGAGTCACACTCGGGGTGTTGGGGGGGGCAACATCCCCGCTCGGGGTGTTGGGGGGGGGGACAGCCACACTCGGGGTGTTGGGGGGGGGCTAGAGTCACACTCGGGGTGTTGGGGGGGGGGCAACATCCCCACTCGGGGTGTTGGGGGGGGACAGCCACACTCGGGGTGTTGGGGGGGGGACAGCCACTCTCGGGGTGTTGGGGGGGGCTACAGCCACACTCGGGGTGTTGGGGGGGGACAGCCACACTCGGGGTGTTGGGGGGGGCTACAGCCACACTCGGGGTGTTGGGGGGGGCAGCCACACTCGGGGTGTTGGGGGGGGGGGTCAACATCCCCACTCTGGGTGTTGGGGGAGGCGACAGCCACACTCGGGGTGTTGGGGGGGGGGGACAGTCACACTCGGGGTGTTGGGGGGGGCTACAGCCACACTCGGGGTGTTGGGGGGGGGCCAGCCACACTCGGGGTGTTGGGGGGGGGCAACATCCCCACTCTGGGTGTTGGGGGAGGCGACAGCCACACTGGGGGTGTTGGGGGGGGGCAACAGCCACACTGGGGGTGTTGGGGGGGGGGGCTACAGCCACACTCGGGGTGTTGGGAGGGGGGCAACAGTCACACTGGGGGTGTTGGGGGGGGACAGCCACACTCGGGGTGTTGGGGGGGGGCGACAGCCACTCTCGGGGTGTTGGGGGGGGGGGCAACAGCCACACTGGGGGTGTTGGGGGGGGGGGGCTACAGCCACACTGGGGGTGTTGGGGGGGCCCTGCTGTGGGCGATTGGTTCGATCGCGGTTCTGCTCGAGCGGGGTCTGCCACCTGCCCGCGACGTGGGAGGATCCGCACGCGTCTCGCCCAGGGACCGCTGCGTGACGCCAGTCACTGCGCACTGCGGCTCGAGACATATCCTGGGTTGGGTTCTTTGTTACCGAATTGTAACCCAAATAAAAGGCACTTGTTGTTATTCTTATTTAGCGACCCCCTGTGATAGACAACGTTTTACCCCTCCATCAACAACCGTTATTCGCCACGAAGTGGCCGTGACGCCACCACGGCGCTTGTGCCAGGCTAGGTGCACGTTGGGGCCACGTGAAGTGTCGAACGCCCCGGTGGCCATGAAGTGGACTTGACTGAGATGTGCCAACTCCGACAACATATATGTAATCATCAGAGCATGCGTGTCTGCATATTCACCACAAGCCCCGTGTGTGGTTAATGCGAACTTGATTCCTTGCAAACAAAGTTTCTGTTTGGTGTTTGAGCATCTTAACACCTGTTTTATTGCCAGAAAGGGTGACACCTATTCATTGTCCCTACAAGTGAGATGACAAGCGTGTTGCACCATAGCTCTGTTGTGAGCAGCAGAGGGCAGTACACAAGCAATGTACTGTAATTGCTGCACTGTACAACTATGCTCCCATCATGACCAGTTTTATTGTCCTGTGCTATCGTGTTAAATATGTTCCCGTGTATTTACAGGTTTCCGCTGCAGCAGCAAGTATTACCAGCGTTGGAAGGAGAGAACCGAGGGATGAAATACCATGGATTTTATCCAAAATGTTGTGGATCCTTGCAAATATATAATGTATCTGAAATATATTCTTCAATATATTGTTTCTCCATATGCTTGAATGTTTTATATTAATATTATTTTATTATTTCCCTTCTACGTGAATTTACCGAAAGAACCAAGAATATGAATCCCCGCAGTCACAAAAGCTTTAAATCAAGAGGAATAACAAGCTTACTATTAGTGTTGCATTGGCTCTCGTACAAATTTGGACGATGGTAAATTCATTATAAATACGTTTTTTTTGTATTTATGTATCACTCATTATCATTGTCGGTAAAATGTGTACAATTGTTTGTGAGACTTGTACCACTTACAAGTCATGATTGGCCATGATCAATCCAAGTCTGAATGAAGGCCCCCATAGGCCATCGACAATTCAGTATTTCAATCTTGTGAAGGGACAATGCATTTAGTCCGTGCACACGAGCTGATTTCATTGCTTCATCTTCATGGTGGACGACCTCTGGGCCACGTAAGCTCCCCCGAGTCCCAAGAATTCATCAGTCGAGTCCTGCAATGGGATGTTTTGGCGAATTCCATCAACGCGTGTTTGGCATGCGGCAGAAAACTGGAGTGCGCAGAGGAAACCCGCACCTATACGAGGTAGACTTGGGGGGGGGGGGTCACACAAAGCTTCGCACAGATCGATTCAATAATCCATTGCTGTACTACCATCTCCTGGCCACCTCACATACCTGATGGTACGTCAGTACAATACGTTAGTTACATTACGGTGGGACCACAGGATTGAGCTGTTGCCATCAGGCAGATGATTCAGATCAGTCAAAATAAGGACAAACAGATTCAAACAGAGCTTTTATCCTACAGCGATCACCACACTCAATAATGCTAATTAATTATTAAGTAATAGTGTTTACAATTGATTGTGAAATAGAGATGTGCAATGACAAAATGTAACCTTATGTGGGTATGTGGGTATACTTGGGCTGTTTTTATATATAGTATAAATTGATTATCTTTTATTTAATTTTATTTTTATTTTCTTGTTTTATTTAATTTAAATTTATGAATGATGCCCTGACTGGTGAGCATTTTAAATTTCGTTGTACTGGTGACAATGACAATAAACGATCTATCTCTCTATCTAATTGGCTCACAATCACAAATGGAGATACACACCTATAAATGATCGTTTTGAGTTGTGAGGACATTGACTCTTGACGAGACACAATACACATTTCCAAAGATAATGGTGGCTCAGAAATCTATTTGCACATAAACATATCCCCTTGATGTGTTGATGCGTTTTGGGAGGTTATATGTTCAGAACTCTATTTGCAATGAAATCAACCTTTGTCCGAAATTTGCACGGGTTTAACTTAATCAAACAATAGTAGTTTACAGTTGTACTTCTTTATTATAATTTTCTTTGTATATAATACACATACTACACTTCATAATCACGCTACATCGACACTCTTTAGTTGTGTGTGTGTAGAGAATTTTACAATTCAAGTATTCAAATCACTGCAGATTAACGTACTGCATGTATGTTAACGTCACACCGCGCAGCCTTGCAACAGGGACAACTCCTATTACGGCAACAACAAACGACGAATTTACAAACGGGGATTAATTAAGGGGCCATCCGTTTAGTACGCTCGCATGGAGGGGGCAGGGGGGTTAACCCAAATGCGTATGCTTGCGTATGGGGGTCTACTGACAATGTACGCATAGGAAATGGGGGTGGGGAGTGAAGGCTCGATAATTTGTCTACATTGGCCTTCAACTGAGTTAGTCCGGCGGTGGACTATCTATTTGCTTAAACACGTTAATATTATTCATCCTTGATCGTTTATGCGTGGATTAAATATCGTCCGTTCTATAGGATTCGGGGGGGGGGGGGTGTAAAAAGTCCGCGTGCGTACAGGGAGGGGTGAAGTTATGACAGATCTTTGCGTACCTACTCAATGGATGGCCCCTATTCAGAAAACCCCAGATCTGCTTGTTCACTCTCGTCAAATGTCAGGCGTGAAATCTCACAATGCAAAGCAAGAAGAGGAGTTGACGGTGATGTGAAAACAAGGATTAGGTGTACGTGATGCATACAATTCAATCATCATTAGCCATGGTCATTCCACAGCTGGATGCATTTACAATGCAATACATGTATACAATTTGGATTCACATTGCGTATAAATGCGACCACATCTCGTGGCCCTGTACATAAACGGTGGAAATATTAAATCTATACAGAGGCAGTCACTTGCAGGCAGAGGGGGCCACAAGGGAAGGTCTGGAACCTGGATTTGAACAGGGGGCAGGGAGCCAACAACACGGCTGGCTGCATGAAGAGAGTTCCGGACGATGGGGGCAGCAGACAATGTACACACTCCCACGTGTAGGGCTGCCACAGAAAGTAGGACATGTCTGGCAACGTTCACACATCTTCTTGGTTCTTTCGGTAAAGTCACGTAGAATGGAAATAATAAAAATAAAACATAATAAAATATTTATATTATTATATTATTTATTATATTGTATTGTTTTATTATGTTTATTTTTATTATTTCCATTCTATGTGACTTTACCGAAAGAACCAAGAAGATGAATCCCTGCAGTCACGAAAGCTTTAAATCGGAACGTTCACACAGTCCTGGTACCTGACTGAGATGAAACGACAGGCAGCCACGTGCAACAGTTTCGAGCTCCCCTGCGTTTAACTTTAGACCATCAGAAGCGGGAGAATTGTCGGATGTTGCGGCATTAATTGGCGTGGGGCGATAGGTCCAGACATCTTCGATTTAGTGTGTTGAAAGAGTGTAACCAATCGCCGCCCCAACCTTCTCCCCGAGTTATTTAATGAATTGCCAAGATGCTAGACCACGATTGTATTCGAGTATTATTTTTTATCTCGTTTGTATAGTTTCCTCTTTTTTTCTTGCTTCTTAAAAGTTGCGTTTGCCCCATTCGCCTAAATTAGCATCACACTTGCATAGTGTTTACATACAATCAAAATATCCATTCTTACGCACAAGATTCAATGCATGTATCACGAGCCTTAATAACCAATACGAATCGTCGAATACATTTTTCGTTACACCCCTATTGTGTTACT